CATTCTGTGCGATCCTGCAGTATTTTAATCAGCTGCTGCCTTCCAGCTTTGTTATCTAGGTGCGGCAAATCAGTAACTCACAGCCTGTTGAGACTGACTGACCCGGAATATGGAAACATGACTGTAAGCATCCTCGCCTTGCTTTGGCTTCTTCTAACTGGGTCTGGTAAGGAAGGTGTCTCGCCTCTGGGGTCATAGAAGTAGAAGGGTGTGGCACTTGGGAGGCTGAGGCAGGAGGATCACTGAGTTTGAGGCCAGTCTGAGCTACAAAGTGAGTTCAAGGTCAGCCTGAACTACATAGTGAAACTCTGTCTCAAAAAGACAAAAAGTAATAATAATCTTAAAAACAAATGAATAATAAACTACTTAACCAGAGTTCAATCTTTTCTATAATGTCAAAAAGTTTTTGCATATGACCCTTTAGAGCTAGAATAATAAGCATTAAAGGGAGCAAAATAAAGAACTTTTTGTTTATTACAGAAAACAATTCAGTTAAACTGGAAAGTAGCTCATCTGAAATGGAAAATGCTGGCTCTAAATCTTGTTTAGCACTGAGTCTCAAGGAGCATAACAACTCCTTTGTGAATCCATTCTTCCTCCACAGCCAGATCTGTAAAGTAGAAATAATATTATGTGTCCTGGCTAGTCTCACCACAGTTTAATGAGATTATTTCTAGGAAATGCTTTGACTTCCAAACTCATAGGAAAATTCAAAAACTTTTATTCTAAAGGGTTTCAATTTGATTAAAAAACTCTCCATGTCTGCTTTGTGAGTCATACAAATTTCCCACTGACTTTCCATGTGCCTCTATTATCAGTATTAAATATTTATTTAAAGTCTATTAAAGTAAAAAATTATGCTTCCAGCTTCCAACCCAAGGTGATTTCTAATGACTATTTAGTTTTTATGATGATTTCTAAAATTTGCATTAATAAGAGAAGAATCTAATGTTAAATTGAAGGTTATTAACATTGGCCTCCTTTCAAGTTCTCTGAATGCTAAAAAGATCTTTTTTCTTTTCTTTTCAACATACCTTTCCTTAATTGCATGAGAATAAAATTACACTTAATTATTATTTAAAATTCTATAGCACATTTGCGTAGGCAAAAACTCCAAGCTGTTCCTTAATTTAAATACCTATGATTTACTGCCTTCTCAATATCCACTTCATATCTGTGAGTATCTCAAATGTAACAAAAAAGAAAAAGACAAATGTCCCTCCCCAACCTGCTCCTCCTCCACTCCAGGCTTCCCCAAATAAACTGTTTTGGTCATTTTGGGGGTTCTCCTCAACAGCTTCTTTCTTTTCACACCTCATATTGGATTCATCTTAAAACACATCTCAAAACATATTCCAGACTTGGTCTACTCACTGTCACCCCTGGCCTGAGTCATCACAGCAGCATAATAACTGATTTTCCTTTCCCCATCTGTTCTTAGCACAACATTCAAAGTAACTTCAGAGTAACTAAATTATAAGATAGATTTCTTCCTTTGCTTAATCCTGACTCCCTACCACCCACTATCATGGTTGCCCAAATACCCAGAGCAAAAACTGAACTCTACGCAATGGCTACCAGGGCTTTTGTGACCTTTCTAATCCTTCAACCACTAAAACTGCTCCACTGTGGCTTTATACTCTGAATGCTGTCTGCATTTTCTTACCCTGGACATCCGCGTGGAAGTTTCCCACACTTTCTTCCAGTATTATTTAAATGTCACCTTCAAGGAAGGCCTTCTGTGGCAACTTTACCTAAAATTACAACCCCACTCCTGATACATCCTTTCCCCTTCCTGCCTTGTTCTCCTAACCCCCCTCAACACTACACACAACCCCTGATAACAACAAAATGTTATTGCCTGTCTCCCTCTCTAGAATGCAAAATATAACAACACAGATATTTTTATCCTTTAATAAGTATTAGCTATCAAAAAACGTTTCTGAAAAGAAATGTTTCCAGCTACCTTCATCAGGACAATGGCTTCTGATGTAAATTCCCATCCTGCCAAGGATAATATTCTTTTTTCAGTGGACATTTCAGACTGTGAGAACAGAAGAGCAACTGTAGCCAAGGGGAGTTGGGTGGGAAGGAGCACAGCACTTTGGCTTATATATGATCCCTCTCAATGATGTGGGGTGCTTCATGCATAAACCACACCAGTTTTGTGCAGAAAAAAGAGCACTTGATCAGAACATATGCCCTAGGCCCATGAAACTGCTCAGAAGACGTTGATTCCAGGGTCAACTTAATTTCCCCATTGGCTGACTAGAACAGAATACCACTGATTTCCCCTACAACCATTTTTTAATGTAATGATTTTATCATGAGCTTGAGAACTGTTACTTGTTATGTGAAGTCTGTATAATTAAACCCATCATTTCAAAAGAAAAGCTTTGTTCATAGTTCATGTCTAATGGTCTATGGGTGGGCTGGTAACTTTTTCCAGCCTCATGCCTACTCGAATCCCAGGAGATTTGTCCTAGATGATGATACACTGAAGATGAATCTGGAAAGTCGCACCTAATGGAAATCAACAAGATCCTGAGACCTGAGACGGACTGCAAAGAGCACAGTCTCTATAGCAAGCAACTATTCCCAGCTGACTTCCACCATGATGAATCACCAGATCTGACTTTTCAGAAAAAGACAGAGTTTAGACACCTGTGAAATCATTCAGATGCAGAAAGTTGGCCTCTAAATCAAGAGTTTTTTTTTTTTTATAGCCACCACTATCATCAGACTCTGTAGGCCAAAGAAAACAGCTTCTAACCACATTCAACAGGGACTCGACCTCTGCTTTACAAGTTGGTTAAAACTAAATCCAGTTCTGAGAAAGTAAACCAATATAACTCCATTGCCTGTCATAATCTTCTGTTAAATTCCTTCCCCCTTGAAAACAGATTTCATAAACATCTCAGAAAGCAAAGCCATGACACCTTTGGCTCCACATCTTTTTCTTTTTTTTTTTTTTTTTTTTTTTTTTTTGGTCTTTTTTGTTTTTATCAGTACCGGGGATCAAACTCACGACCGCCTGCTTGCAAGGCAGGCGCTTATGGCGCTGAGCTAAATCCCCAGCCCCTGGCTCCACATCTTAAAGCTCAGCATCCATAGCTGGCGTGGGGTGCATGCCCATAATCTCGCACTCCGGGAGCTCAGACAGAAAGTTCACGAGCTGGAACCCAGCTTAGGCACCTTAGTGACTTAGTGAGACTGTTTCAAAATTAAAAAGGGCAAGGGAAGTAGCTCAGCAAGAAGACCCCGAATTCACTCCCCAGGACCACAAAAAGAAAAAAGCCCTTCAGCATCCACATGAGTGCATTCCATCTCTCAATCTGTTCAGCAGAATAAGTAGGGAACCCACCTCCACTGAAGGGGAGTCTAATAATTTCCCTCACAGGGTTTTAGGAGCTCTTCAAGAGTGCAGTGACGGGCTGAGACCAGATAGAACAGCAGAAAATTCCAGTGACAGCAAGGGAAACACAGGGAATTCTCTGGCTGCCAGTGGAGGAGGGAGGAGACAGCCTATTTGTGCATGAGGATTGCAATCCAAACTGAGAAAGGAAGGGTTATTCCCTAAATCATTTAGAAGACTGTGAGCCTCCCAAAAGCTGACTGTTTCTAATCTATCCATGTATTCCTAGACTGCATTCCCATCTCTGGCACACAGTAGGGATTCCATGGGCTGTTGGAGGAAAGCAGAGTTGTGTCATATGGCAGGTTAAAGAAATCTCACAATCAAACAAAAGCTGGTGACTTCGAAACCTCTCTGGGGAAACTGGCAATGTGAAATTTTAACACTTCGAGACAGGGCTGCAATTTGCAATTTCAGAATCACAGACTTTATTGTTCTTTAAATTATCATAATGAAAGAAAAGGGAAAAGATGAAAAATTAAAACCAATGCTCATAGTTTTTAAATTTCAAGAAGCAAGAAAAAAATCCAATCCCACTAGAACAGGTAAAGCAATTGCAAATCCACAGAGATGTGAATAAAATTGTTTTATAGCATTGTTTTCCCCAGACACATTGTTTAATGCAATGATTTTATCAAGAGCTTGAGAACTGTTATTTGTTAGATGAAGATTATGTAATTAAACCTACCATTTCAAAAGAAAAGCTTCATGGATCCTTTTGTTTTGTTTTGTTTTGAATCTTCTATGGCTGAGCTAGTAATTTTTTCCTGTCTCACACCTACTCAAAACCCAGGAGATTCGTCCTTGATGCCTGGCATGAATATAATTACAGTACAGTTCTCCGGTGCATAGTTCAATCACAGCAGCCAACTATTGATTTGTGCGCATATCCAACACACATTTCTGCACTCTGGGAGTTGTTAAAATGCATTAACAATCTCCAAGCTCATGTTCTGAATATGGCGACAGTGGGGGTGTTGGTTGTTTTGCTTTATAATTTTCTTTTCTTTTCCTCCCAAGACCTGAGCCAAACCTTTTCTGAGCTGGAAAGCTCCACCGATGTGTTGCAACAAATTCATGTTCAATTTCACACTGGGTCACACACAATCAGAAGAAAGATATAACCATGGCTTGGGGGAGGGCTGGGAGGATGCAAGGCTGACTGCACAGGAAGCTCTGGCTCTCACAGGGACTTTGGGGAAACATACCTTCTTCTCTCGTGACTGAGATAACTTCTCAGCATAAAGTCTTCAGTGAATTCAAAAGATGTTTTTGCACACGTTTTCCTGAGTAGCGATAGTAATGATTCAAACTCCCTTCTTGTCAGCATAAAACACTATACGACAAGACCGCATATACAATGGAAAGGACGAAAGTAGGCAAATGAGAGGCCCTGGGAGTAGAGCTGGCTCTTCCACGACACAGAGGAAGTCATGTACGTTCTATCTACAAAAAAGGGACCAGGCACTACTAGTTTTCAAACAGTGCGTCATGAGAGTTGGGACATAGCTGCAGAAAAGCAGTAGGTTTCTCAGACCACCATATTCTTCCTCCTACACGTCAGCCACAACAAGTTGGTTCTTACCTGTTTACAGCTCAGATTTCCATATTAGATTTTCCACATGAAAGCTTGAAGAAAACTTCTCTGGCCTTTCCAATTTTCACTTCCTATGATTCTACAATTTTTCTCTATGAATGTAGACAGACTCAATTTCCTGAAGGACATGTATTTATTACTGCAGGTCACTGTGGAAAATGGGAAACATTTCTTTAATGTAATGACCACCATCATCAAAAATATGGATTTATTAAGCAGCTATTCATATACTTTTAGCACAAGCAAAGCTTATAAATTATATTTTAAATTTAAGAAATTGAGTGATTTCACAGATTTTGGAAAAGGGAAATCTTTATATTCTTTCAATGTAGTATAAATACTGAGAAGCAGATGCAGAAATGCAAATGAACAGTGTATTTGAAAATGCTTTTGGAACACAACTAGAATAGCTAATAGGCAATTAAACATTTTTACCTTGAACAGATGTTATAGGGGATATTAACATTTGCCTGCAGTTCCAAAAAGTCTTATGGCTGTAGGTAAATAACTCAATTTCAACCAACCTAAGTAAAAAGTGATTTTTCCCAAGAAATGAGGTCTAAATATCTACCATGCCTTATCACTGGGACAGGAAGAAACACTGGTGCCTCAGAAGATACAAAGAAATTCCAAGAACATGCAGGTAGCAAAGTAAGATTAAAAAGTTCATACTGGGAAAATAGGAAGTTTCTGTATTGCAAATCCACAAATTCAAACTTCTCCATTCATAGCAGAAGGGAGCAAAAGCTACCACAAAAATTAACAGACACCAACCAAGTATTCAAAATGGACCTAAAGAAATACTTCAGCAAAGACTAAAATGTAGTACTAAAGATCATAAGCCAGAAGGACGCCTCTTACATCTGACTACAAAGAATAAAAAGAAATGGATCGTAAAGCACCAAAATAGAGACTGTTTCCTTAACCATACCGGTAGGTATTATCACTACATCCTCTGTAAAGAAAAATCAGATTTCAATACTGGAATCAGCTCAGAATGCTTTTGTACCCCATCTTCCATCCACATTACTGAAGAAACACTGTCACCAAAGCTAGCACACAGTGTTTAGAAATCAAAAAACTGCTAATTTCTTCCTCCTCCTCTTCTTATCTGCTTTCACCTTGATTCTTCTACTTGGTGAGCTGGTTTGACTGATAAATTGGGCCATTCAGTCATACTCTTCATTCATCACAATTCTTGATCTGTTTTATCGTCTAAAATAAAGCACTCAAATGCCTCAGACCTAGAATAGAATATGAAAAGATGCCTCCTGCCAAAGAGAAAAAATTCAAATTCTCCACAGAGATCAGATAACTTTGAATGTTTTAGTGGGGAACTTCAGAATTCTGATAATCTTATACACAATTGATACTTGTAGATCTCCTCTCCGATACCATAGAAATTCTTAGGAGGTAGCCCTAAAATGATTTTAAAAGCTAATAACTATCATGGGAATGAAGTTTTTAAAATGTGAACCATGTAGCATTCAATACCCCAGGTACAATTATTCCTCTAGGAAATTATATAATAAGGGGAAAAAAAATCACATGAAAATCAAGTAGTTCAGGCTAGGGATTTAGCTCAGTGGCATAAGCACCTGCCTTGCAAGCAGGCGGTCATGAGTTTGATCCCCGGTACCGGAAAAAAAAAAAAAAAAAGAAAATCAGGTAGTTTGTGACCACCTGTCTGGCTACCAAAAATGATGGTTCTGTAGCTCCTGGAACCAAAGAAAACCAACCTATGGAATTCACTTCAACCAAAATCTGTTACAACAGATGTCATGCCAAACACTTCTAGTCTTCAGTATCTCTAGGCACAGGGTAGGACAGTCTTTCTGGCTGCTTTATAGTTGTATATGATCACATGACTAATTATGGTCAATGAGGATAAAGGAAATAAGTCACTTCCAAAATAGAGCATTCGGTTGATAAGGTAAGACCTTCCACACAGTGAAGGGAAGTGACAGGTAATGCTTCATCTACTTAGAGTGGCCATGACAAAGACAGCCCATGTAGACACACAATGTACATGTAGCACAATAGAAGTAAATCTTTGTGGCGTTAGGTTTCTGAGACTAGGGGAAAATTTGTTACTACACATTACCTAGTCTATCCTGACTGATGCATGCTCCATAGATTTGGCTCTCTGTTCCTTCCAGAGGAATCTACACAGGAATGAACTACACAAGTTATCTTCCAAATCCACGGTCGTGACTAGACACCCAGAGGGTTTCAGGCTGGCTGCCCCAGCTCAATTCCACATCCCCAAGCAGTACTCTTTTGTTATTTTTTAAACTGAATGTAATGGAAAAATAAAAAACACATATTTAAGGTATACAATATCATGTTTTGAGTTATACATATATTGTGAAATGATTTATCAAAATTAAGATATTAACATACCATCACCTTATTTTTAATTTCCTCTGCTGGGAAGTACTCTTCAGCCAGAGGCATGGAAGGTCTGTGAGTTTTCTTCCATCATTTGTCCCTCCAACTTAACAGCCCCCATAGGATGGGTTACTCCCCATTCTCCCCCACACCAATTTTGTGAAAACTAAAATAATAAATCACGTAAAGGGTAAATTTAGAATAAAAGCAATCTGTAACTTCTTTAGGATATGAACTATGCTCTTTTGTTTGCTTTTTTCAGTGCTAAAGCTAACATACCTTGGCATAGGATGTTTTTCCTCATGAAGCATTTGTTGCAGGTGGTTCACAATGACTCCATAATTATTTGGAAAAAATGTTTCTTAAGAGCAGGCTTCTTATTTTGATGAGGAGAATTTGGTTCATTTTTTGTTTAAACTTGCTGATCACACTCTCTGTAGCATTGGGTTGTCACGATAACCACCTCTAAAAGCAGGTCTCCTTGACATTTTACCACAACCCTGGGGCATTTGAGATTGTTTCTACCCACTTTCTCCCCAGATCTATGATTTCAAATTATTTCAAAGGATTTTAATGTGAGTGCATTTCGTTAAGGCAAAAGGCTCTTCTAGCTGGGCGTAGCATCAAGCTAGAAATAGCTTGACAGAAACTGCTCTTAACAAGAAATATAAAATAAATGAGAAATGCTGAAATACTGTTTATTTTTTCTTTCTTTTTTAAAGCTGGAAGAGGCAATGGAAACAACTTAAGTAAGACAGTCAGGTAGATCTTACCTTCAGCAACCACAGTTTGGGACAACATTGCCTGATCCCTCTATCTTCCTTTAAGGCAGTTAGATGTTTCTTAAATGCCTACAACCTTTCCCACCTAAAAATTGCCCTAAATTTCATGAATTATTGTAAATGGGTAATCACACGTGCAAGTGAGGAATTGGTAACTCGAGTACCCATCTGTGCACACAATTAACTGCTGTGAGCAAGTAATTGCCTGTTTTTACAAGAGCCTACTTAGAAACCTCAGTTTGAGCATGTATTATTTGAATAATTTTGTCATAACAAAAAGCAAAACTTTTTTCCTGGAAAAAATACTTTAAATAGGCTGCCAAACAACCTGTAATTTTCAGTCTTGAAGGATTATATCTAAAAAGCCAACCCCACCATAGCTGATTTTAAAAGGAGCCTCACACTTCTAAGACACACTGAGGACCCTGGCCAAGCAGACCAGGAAAGACCAGCGCAGCTAATGCTCATTAGGATGCTCTTGTCCAAGCCCCTTCAGGAGATGTTGGAAGCTTTTTGTAATGATGTTTTGGGTTACTTTACACAACACAGTCTATGCTAATGGAGTACCTACTGATAGAACTGTGGGGGACCGGCGGCGGCTGAAAAGATAAGAAGTATGAAATATAAATGACCTTTATTTTGAGAAGGCTGGGAGAGACACCCCCGATCCCCTGGGGTACGGCATTCCCCCCCATCTCTCCGGGGAACAAGTGGATTGGAGGCATATAAGTAGCCTAGGTTTGGGGTGGAACCTAAGGGGGCATTAGGGATGCACAGGTAGCCCATTGGCACTAGTTTGGCGCCAGAGGTAGATTCCTAGGGGTGCCATAGGTAAATCCCTAGGGGTGGGGGAGACAGGAGCGCCTTGGTTCCGGCTGAGGCTTTTCCAGCTACAGTGTCCGGCCTGGGCCAAAACTCTTTCACCTACCATGTAAAGAGCATTCTGTTCTAAACTTTATGCAGAATATCAAAAGAAACTCAAATATAGAATTCCCCCTTAAGAAACACACAAACAGCTTTGCAATTCAAAATTTATGAAGATACTTGTTTCCTTATCAAGCCACATCTGTGCAGCAGCAAAACAGGAATACATTTTGCTTTTTTTTTTTTGGTACCAGGGATCGAACTCATTACTGTGCGATTGCAAGCTGAGCTAAATCCCCAGCCCGTTTTGCATTTTTAAAAAATCATCTTTGGTCTGAGCCTGCATCAAGCTGTATCATTGTCTGCCTCCTTCCTCCAGACTGACCTGATTGCCTTCCCTTCGTGGAGTCAGCCAGAGGCCTTGATGGTCATCAACACTAATCTTCAGCTACTAGTGACATTGCTTCTCCACCTGCTGCTAAAAGCCTTAATCTATAGCTATTTTTGATACCACACCAAGCTGCTACATCATTTATATTTCTCTCACCAAATGTTCTGTTCCTCTCATCACTGCCCCTTCCCTTTAAGTGCCACCTATGTACTAACAACTCCCAAATTACAGTCTTCAGCTCCAGCCTCTCTCCTGCAGCCTGTCCTTGTTCCCATTTCCTCCTAAGTACTTCATAGTCACATCAGATTTCATTTGCTAAAATCAACCCAATCTGTTCCTCCACCATTTCCTTGTCTCAGTAATGGGCAGGCCCAAATTTTGCAGTCAGCCTCGCACCCTCTTTCTCTCACACTGGACATTCAGTCTGATAGAGTTATTTCCAAAAGATGAAAAATATTAACAAAAGATGAGAAATATAAAATAAAAAGCGGCCTTTATTCTGAGAACACGGAGAGAGATGACCGGCAACCCCACCGCTGGCGTCCGGCAATCTCTCCGGCGGACACGCGGCGTGGGGGCCTGTAAATAGCCTCGGTTTGGGGTGGAACCTAAGGCGGGCATTAGGGATACATAGGTAGCCCATTGGTCCTAGGTTTGGCGCCATATGTAAATTCCCAGGGGCGGGAAGATGGCGTCACAGGTAACTTCCTAGGGGCAGGGC